CGACTTGCTCCTGATTATGATGCTTTGGATGTTGCCAACAAAATTGGGATCATCTAAACTGAGTCCAGCGGGCTAATTCTAAATGTAATAAATTTTTCTCACCATAAAAAAAAAAAAAAAAGAATCCTCCTAGTCTAGATCCTGGTGCAAGTCGGAGAAAAAGAGCTTCAGCGAGATTTTGAGTAAATCTAGTTAGGAGGCGGACATAAGTGATCATGTGGTGGAGTTAGGGCCCAAATCCTAACTGACGATGACTATCCTCTCTTGGGAAGTACGTCCGCTGTTCTGCCCTCTTGCTCCCAGCTTTGGAGAATCCTTGGCTCTGCTGAGTGTGGCAGTCCATGTGTTGCCTCGTGTCAGGGAACCTTTTCCCAGGCTGATTGTGTGCAATATTCCCAATCCTGTTTGCAGGCCCACGAAGCCTGTGGCCCTATGGAAATCGATTCCGCTCTGAACACGGTGCAGACCCTGAAGAACGAACTGCAGGACGCCAAGATGGCTGCCGTGGAGAGTCAGCTGAAGCCGCTTCCAGGGGAGACAGTAAGCTTGTCGAGTTGGCTGCGGGGTGGAGGCAGCCTTTAATTAAGATGATATTAGGGCATTTTTATAAACTAGGCTTAATGTGCCTGAATTTCATGCATGTTGAATGAAAATTCCTAGGAGATTCGTGTTTCTTGAGAAGTGCACTGACATTGAGATTACACCGAAGGATCCCTGGGGTGGCTCTCCCTGTGCTTTCCTGGGTTTTGTCTGGGAATGAACCAGGGTCCATTAATATTTATCCTCCTCCTTCATAAACACGACAAATAGTACGGTTTGCAGCTGATCTGCTGCAGAGAATTCAAGGTGCAGGTGGAGGACCCAGGTATGAACTAGGACTTCTGGCTTCTAGAATCAGCTATATCCTAACTACCTGTGGGCAAGTCTCTTCTCACATGTCTTGTGTCCATGTATATGTTTATTAATGGTCAGCCATGAAGTTACAAGCTCAGAACATTTTTAATAGTCATACTTTAAAAGATATCTCCTTAATGAAAAGGGATTGCCAATGACAAAGCATTTGAATACAGGCTTATAATTTCAGGTGAAATTATGACACAAGACATCAAATTTAATTTAAATTTTATCTCTTTAAATTTAATTGAAACCTCTTGGCGCATATGTCAGGATTTTTGTTGTTTTGACTAAATTTTACATGTCTAGTGGTAAGAAGCTGTGCTGCAATCCTGAAGGCATGCAGTTTGAATCCACCAGCTGCTTAGTGGGAGAAGGATGGGCGCTCTCCTCCCATGCAGTTAACTACCTCTGAAAACCCTCTGCAGGGTCAGCTATTGATCTCTTCTGACAGAACACAACTACCACCACCACCTCACTTTTAATCTCTTTCCCTGCATTTTTGACCATGCTAACAAAATACCAACACTTCTTGTTAGGTGCCATTGAACTGAGTACAACTCATAGAAACCCTCAGAACAACAGATTTGAATCCTGCCCTGTCCTGTTGATCCTCATTATCCCAGATACACCTGAGCCCATTGCTGCATTCATGGTGTCAGTCCGTCTCGCTGGGCATCTTCCTCTCTTTTGCTGACTTTCCACCTTTCTAAGCATGAAATCTCTTCCCAAAGAATAGCCTCTCTGAACAACATGTCTACAGTATGAGAGACAAAGCTTACATGTTTCATTATTAAGCACTGTACACACACACACTCACACACACACACACACAATCAACCTGGTTTATCCCAGCAGTAACCTATGAGCAAGCTGCATTCTCATTTTATAGTAGATGAAGTAGAGTGCAGAGGTTGACATTGGTTGTCCCACTGAGATCTATTAGTTAATGTCAAAGCCAACATTTGGATCCAGATCCACGGATTCCAAAACCTAGGCTTTTGATCTTTTGATCACCCTTAACTAATTCTGCTTTTTGACGGAAATGAAGAGTTTTATAATATAAAAGGACTTCAGGGGCATCTGCTCCACCATAGAACCATACCTGGGAGATAAGAAGTACTCAGAAGAAAAAAAAATTATTGTTTTTGAGTGAAGATTTATAAATCAGATAGTGTTTTCATACAATCATTCATAATTTATAGATATTTTGTTTTAAAACATTAACTCAGTCATTGCCTTTGAAGTAGAATCAACTCAGTACAGCTGACCTTCCACTGCATTTTCAGAAGCTGTTTTATCACGTGGGAAGAGATTGCTTATCTTTCTCTGAAGGAACAGCTCGTGGCTTTGAACCACCTGCCTATGTGTTAGCAGCACAGCTCCTTACCCACTAGACCACTAGAGCTCCCTTCGGCATTAATCATTGTATATTGTCTAATCAACCCCTTATTGTGCACTGCCCTTCCTTTCACCCAGAGTTTTCTTTTTACTGCCTTCTCCCTCTCTTCCCTAATAATCTAGGTACTCTAATTGTAAAGATGGAGAAACAAGGGCTCAAAGACATTAAGTTAACTGAGGTCACGCAGCTAGTGATAAAAGTCAAGACTGGCCCACTGGCTTTGGTTTGATTTTTCTTTGCAAACTTCTGCACTCCCCAGAGCCCAAGGGAAGCTGCGAAGCTGACAAGACATAAATTCTACTGTTCCCTAAAACAACTGGTCAGTTAGAATACAAGTAACAATGATAACAATTTTAAAAGTCTACTCCCCACCCCAAACACCAGTGTGTTTTAATATATTGTTGCCTATAATAAACCAAGCATTTTTTTATTCAAAGGTGCTACCTCTCTAGGAAAACAGGTCCCAAGGCTAAAAATGCCCACATCCTTGTGCACTGCTGCTGGGTGCCTAGGGCTTCTCACTCAAAGTGCCCTCATCTAGCAATCAGATAATCATCTGTACCCTAGGTCTTTACTCACTTTGTCCTCAGAACTATTTATTCCATTTACAAAGCAAGACGACATGCTGTTCATGGGAAACCAGCATTTTGCCCATTTTCATAATCTCATTTGCCAATCCAAGCCCCGACTTCCGCATTTCCTTTCAGTTGGAATCCCTCAACGTATAATGATCAAATTGAACAATGTTAATGGCCCCACATGCCAGGAAGGTGGTGCAGCTGGATGTCTGCCCACTTCCTGCCAAGATATAATTAATTCCCCGCTAAGGATTTGTTGCAGACTTTCTAAATTAGCTTCCAATGGCATAATACTAATAGCTACCATTTGTTGAGTACCTCCATTAATTCTCTGAAAACCTTCTGAGCGAGGTATTATGAGGTGCCCCGAAAACGGGGTTTGGAGAGCTTCAGTTACTTCCCCTCATCTCACATAGCTGGTAATTAAGAGGTGTGTGTAGGAAAGAGGGGTTGACCCAAGATGTGTCTGTTCCAAAGCTTGGGCTCATTCCCCCGTATCACCCTGCTATTTCTCAGTGTTTTGCATGTTTTATGTGGGAAATAGCTAAAGCCAAATTTTGATCTGCTTTACTTTTCTAGTATATTCTAAGACCTCACTGGATGTTACTTTCCTGCTCCGCTATTCTTACAGCTGGAAAAATGTGCTCAGGACCTGGGAAGCACCTCTAAAGCAGTGGGGTCCTCCATGGCGCAGCTGCTGACCTGTGCTGCCCAAGGCAATGAGCACTACACAGGTGAGCTCCTGGGCCTTTAGTACTGCCACGCAGCCAGGGAAGACCACGTAAGGGCGGGTGTCCGACGTGACAGTGACTTCATTGATATGATAATAAATGTGACTTCTTTTTTTGTTTGATTGTTTTTTAAGCAGCTCTGTATATTCCATTTCCTAAACAACATGCCTCTGAAAACTCTATGAACTTTGAGAAATGACAATAGTTATAGAAAGAGTTTTCAGGTCTTTCATTCATAGGGCTGCTATGAGTTGTGTTCGACTCGACAGAAATCACTACCAACAACAACATATATTTCCCCAGCGTTTTGTTTTAGACTTAATTAATACTAAGCATGTTGTTGTTGGGATGTGCTGTCAAGTTGGAACCATCTCATAGCTGACCATGCAATGGGGCTGGTGGATTTGAACCACAGGCCTTTCGGTTGGCAGTGCAGCTCCTTACCACTAGGCTACCAGAGTCCCTCTACTAAGCACACAGAGATGAAAACAATATTCCTTTGAGCCATTTTTTAATCACCTCTCTTAGTGAATAAACAAACAGCAGTGTAGACACCTGGGACTATCTGGCCCTCCTAAAACACTACTGTAAGATTAAAAGAATAAAAAGGAGCAAAGAGAGCAGGAGAGGTGGTAACAAGTAACATGTCAGTGACATTTTCCAGGATGGAGAGAGACAAATGAATGGTAATTGATGAAGGGCAACAAAGAAAGACATAAGGTTCTCCAGGTGTAGGTAAACCACCCCAAAGCGAAGGGATTTGTGCTGCAAAACCCTGGAAAAGATCAGCTGTTAGAGGCGTCAAGTACTTGGGAAGGCAGGCAATCTTTAAGCAAGAGTGCATCTGAGGAAAAGAGAGTGTAATTACCAACTGCAGGAATCTGCATAAGAAAGGAAATGTTATGATAACGGGAAGTAGGCATAGTAGGAAGTCTGTGAACAACCAAAATTGAAAAATCAAGCTGTTTCTGTATAAACAGATTGTTCAGAATCAAGAAATATTAGAAGAGAAAATCTAATTGAAATAAAAAGTGGTTTATATAGGGGGAGGAGAATGTTGAGGACATGCTGTGATGAGAAAATATTATTGTGATATAAAAGTATAAATGAGGCATTGATGTCCAATAACAACAAAAGAAATAAGTAGAAAAAAGCTTGAAGGCCTGAGAAGCACTAGAAGAGGAATCTGGCTGGATAAGTGGGTTGTGGGGTTTTGCTCTGGGTGTGATGGATTATTGGCTGCTGGGAAGTCTGTTCTGCCTCATGACAACTCCATGTGTGTAGAGTAGGACTGCCTCAGAGGGCTGGGGAGGCTGTCACCTTTCAGAAGCACATCACCAGACCTGTTTCTCAAGGTCTCTCAGATGGGTTCAGACTGCTAGACTTTCGGCTAGTAGATAAAGACTACTACCACTTCTACTGGGGTGAGGTGCTATCTCCTTGTGGTTTTGATTTACATCTCTCGCTCATTGCCAGTGATTTGGAACATTTCTTCATGTGTATGTTGGCCATCTGAATATGTTCCTCTGTGAAAAATCTTTCCATGTCTTTTACCCATTTTGTAATTGTGTAAAAATTTTTTTTAAAACCCACCAAAATTCAATTCTTGTACTTTCCCCTTAATATGCTGCATTTTATTAAAATATTTATAACTGGGAGGAAGAGAGAGACAGAGAGACTGAGATTACTACCATCTGTTTATATCACCGGGAAACATCCTGGGATGCTGATGTGAGCGTCTATTGAACTGGTTCCTAATCACAGAGGCCCTGTGTACAGCAGAACAGCACACTGGCCCTGCACCCTCCTGACAGTGGCTGCTCCTTTTGAGCCTCTTGTTGCAGCCATTGTTGTGTCAGTCCTTCTTGTTGAGGGTCTTCCTCTTTTTCCCCAGCTCTCTACTTGACCCTGCATGATGTCCTTTTCTAGTGACCGGCCCCTCCTAATAATACACTCAATGTATTCGAGACAAAAATCTTATCATCCTTGCTTCTAGGAAACATTTTGGCTGTATATATTCCAAGACAGACTTATTGGTACTTCTTTTTTAACTATCATAATATCATTAATATCACATGCTGACAAGATTCTGCTGAAGATTATCCAAAAACAGCTGGAACAGCACATCAATAGAGAACTACCTGAAGTGCAGGCTGGATTTAGAAGAGTCTGTGGCACTAGAGATAATTATAGCTAATGTCAGATGAGTCTTGGCTGAAAGCCCAGAGTCCCACAGGAATATCTATCTGTGTTTCATTGACTATGCAAAGGCATTTGACTGTGTAGGTCACAACAAAATGTGGCTGACTCTGAGAAGAATAGGAATTCCAGATCACTTGATTGTGCTTATACAGAGCTTATACTTGGGCCAAGAAGCAGTCATCAGAAAAGAGCAATGCAACACTGCATGGTTCAAAATTCGGAAGGGTGTACGCCAAGGATATGTTTTATCTCCATATCTTTTCAATCTATTTGTGGAACGATTATCCAGGAGGCTGGGCTCTAGGAGGAGAAATGTGGCATCAGGATTGGAGGTAGACTCATCAACAATCTGCGTTATGCAGGTGACACAACCCTGCTTGCTGAAACTGAGGAGGACCTGAAGTGCTTGCTGCAGAAGGTAAAGGACTGCAGCCTTCAATATTCATTGAAGCTCAACATTAAGAAAACAAAGATTCTCACCACTGGGCAGCATTGACATTCTAACCATTGGCAGCATCATGATGGATGGTGAAGAGATTGAGATTGTTAACAGCTTTAGTTTCCTTGGCTCCACAGTCAACACTGTTGGTACAAGCAGCCAGGAAATTAAAAGACAAATTGCTTTGGCAAAGTCTGCTGTCAGAGACCTCTCCAAAGTACTGAAGAGCAACAATGTCAGTCTGGAGGCTTAAGGTGCTCCTGATACAGACCATGGTCTTTGCAGTTACTTGCTATGCATTGGAAAGCTGGACAATGACTAGGCATGATAGAAGGAGAATTGATGCCTTTAAGCTGTGGTGCTGGAGAAAAGTATTAAATATACCATGGACTGCTAGGAGAACAAACAAGTTTGTCCTTGAGAGCATGAGACCAGGCTGCTCCTTGGAGGCAAGGATTCTGAGGCTTTGTCTGACATACTATGGACATGTTGCAAGGTGGGATCAGTCCTTAGAGAGGGATGTCATGCTTGGGAGAGTGGAGAGACAGTGCAAGAGAGGAAGACCCTTGATGAGATGGATTGATTCAGTGACTAGGATAGTGGGGGTAGGTGTGTCAGAGGCAATAAGATCAGCACAGCATAAGAAGGGTTTAGGGCTGTTGTATATCGGGTCACTATGAGTCGCAGGTGACTTTATGGCACATAACAACAACATCCATGGTATATTCAATATTCTGCCAATACCACAATTCAAAGGCATCACAACTTTAGTTTCCATTATTCAGTGCCCAACTTCCAAATGTATATGTGATGGTTAGAAACACCATGGCTTGGGTCAAGCCACTCAGTATGAGAATGTATATCTCTATCCTAATAGGGAATAAGGGAAAATTTCAGAACTTTCATAAGGCATTAATCCAGAACATAGTTAATACCTGATCGAGGTTTAGAAGATTGTTTAGAAGTCCTTAAACATTCTAAGGAAAGACAAAATATGAATAATTATCTAAAAGTATAGGAAGTTTGAAAGATTTAAGTTTCTAACATTTTCAGATATTTCTGAAATTTCCTTAGATTTTATGTGGTTCATGAAATGTATCTTTGTAGAAAGAAGACTGGTTTAGCAGTTGCTTCATCTGATGACTGGCTCATCCAGTATAGCAGGAGCTCTAGTTGATACGTGGAAAAGATGAAGCAGCATAATTTAGTTTGTGGGAACATTGGAAAGGTGGCTGTATAAGCAAGAATAACATGTGAAGTCCCAACCATGACAGAAAAAGTCCCAGCCATGACAGAAAAAGAGACTGGCTGCAGGAAGTGAGAAAGGTTCAGCTATAAGACTACCACTATACTACAATCTACAATACAACTGTAAGATTATACTGCAATGATACTACTAACAGCTTGCCTCTGGAAACTCTATGAACGTTGATAACTGTCGATAGTTGTAGAGAGGCTTCAGGACTTTTGTTCATAGGGTTGCTATGAGTTGTGCTTGACTCGAAGGCAATCGACAGCAACAACAACACCTATAACTACAAGACAGCTATAAAACAACTCTTATGAGAGTAAGAAAAAAATGACAGGAATAGTCAGATCCAAAAGGGCCTCTTATAACAGTTGAAAAAAAAAATTTCAAGCTATGGGCATTTGAAAATATTGAAGAGTTTCCCACTGTGGTGTGTAGTTCAGATTGCTATATATGTGTATATATTGTTCTCCCCTGTGTTTGCCGAATGGATTAGTGGGCAACCAAGTTGAAGGCAGTGAGAGCAGCAAGGGCTGGTGCCTTAATCCAGATAAAAGGTGATGGTGGCTGCGGTGGAGAGAAGGGAGGATTAATGAAATAGACAGGTGACAGTTGTTGATGACCAGTAAGAAACCGGCTAAATGTAGATAAAGATGATAAAAGGGAAACTTTTTAAGGCCTGATAACTGGACTAAGAGTTGTATTCATCACTGTGAGGGAGAGCATTGGGCCACTGGAAAGTGAATCCAAGCGTGGAGTTCAGAGGTGCCGAGTTCTGCTTCCACTGCTTTTGGTTTGATTGGCAGCAGGATAGCCAAACACAGGAGCACATTTGGCAGCTAGTCATTTGGCTTGGCTGGTGGTGTAAATTGAGAGATTAGTAGTCAAATGATAATGATTGAAACCATAGAGGTAAATAAGTATGCCTAGAGAGAGGAAGACACTGTATAAAATCTAATCCCAACTATTTAAGGAGACAGCTGAGCAATTGAATAGAAACCTTTGGAGAAATGACAACATCCAGCCATGGAGAGAGCAAGATCACCAGGAAAAAGGACTGTGTTTGGAGCCAACGCAGTTGCTGCCCTGAAAGTCATGTGAGGTGTAAATTTAAGAAACAGCCATTGGTTTTAGGAATCAGGAGGTTACTGCTCTCCTTTTTGAAGGTAATTTCAAGATAATTGAACAATGTAAAGTAGCTAAGAAAGAAAGCACAAATATAGACACCTTCTTCCAGGGTCTCAAGTCCCTTGTCTACAAACTAAGATGTAGGGACTATCCAGAAATTACTTGTTAGCTACCACTGGCCTGCATTCTGTTGCTAATGAGCTTTTTGTCTGGCTAGTGCAGTGTTCAGGATACACATCTGCCTGGCTGTGTACTGTTACAGAGTCAGAAAACTTCTTTTTTGGATTCTCTGAGCTGGATCAAAAATCTATGCCATTACCTGGGTTTTACTTTGAAAACTCACTGGTTTGACACACACTATTTTGACCCAGTACTGTTGTTTGCTTTTTTAATGGTTTGCTTACCAAGTTCGTATACATATGTTTTACATTATTCTTCATTCACATTATGTTTCATAGTCATTTTCATGCATTATGTTTTATAAAAGTGGAGAGGTGGTAACTCTTACACACTGTTGGTGGGATTGTAAAATGGTGTGACCCAATACTATTTTCACATACAGTCTACGTGAGTTCTGTTAAAGAACAATGGTTATAAGGAATTCTGTATTTCACATCATTCTAGTTTCTTTTTAAGACTCTGCCACAGAATAGAAGAGGCAGGTGGCAAGGAGAATCTGTATCTTCAAAGGATTGTGGTTATATTAAAAAGAAGTCTGCTTTAGTATTTCCCCACAGGTAGCTCCAGAACTGTGATGCACGCTTCACTTTGGGGATGGTTTCATTTGAAGGGTCACACCGCTGCGCTGTTTGACAGCATCATGGTAGATGGTGAAGAGACTGAGACTGTTAACAGCTTCAGTTTGCTGGGCTCCACAATCAAAACTCTTGGTAACAGCAGCCAAGAAATTAAAAGACGAATTGTTGTCAGCGACCTATCTGGAGCCCTGAAGAGCAACAGTGTCAGTCTGGAGACAGAGGTGCACATGATCCAGGCCATAGTCTTCGCGATAACTTGCTATGCATCAGGAAGCTAGACGATGACTAGGGATGATAGAAGGAGAATTGATGCCTTTGAGCTGTGGTGCTGGAGAAAAGTATTGAATATACCATGGACTGCTAGGAGAACAAACAGGTTCATTCTGGAGAGGGTGAAACCAGACTACTCCTTGGAGGCAAGGATTCTGAGGCTTTGTCTGACATACTTTGGACATGTTGCGAGTAGAGACGAGTCCTTAGAGAGGGATGTCATGCTCAGGAGGTTGGAGGGGCAACGCAAGAGAGGAAGACCCTCAATGAGATCAGTTGACTTAGTGACTGGGGTAATGAGTGTAGGTGAGTCGGTGACAATAAGAATGGCACAGGATAGAGCAGGGTTCAGAGCTGCTGTATATAGGGTCGCTTTGAATCACAAGTGACAGGAGAGCCCATAACAACAACATTTGCTAGGACAGGAGCTCCTGATCTGACAGTGATTACCAGTGAAGATGTGACAAATTCAGCTTAGCTGGTCACGGGCTTTCTGTTGGCCCCTAGGGGCCTTGTTCCATCTTTCTGAAGATGTGTATTTCTTTTTGATGTGCTCTCTCTAGGAGAGCCTGGCAATGCCTTGAGCTTTCCAGTGAGGCCGCAGCAGGAATTGTGTGACGAACAGCCTTAGGCATTTGGAGTTTAGCTCTGTGGTTTCTGTTTTTTTGGAACTTGTTTGCATTTTTAAAAGAATTCTCATTGAGTGATTTTTGCATCGACTCTCTTCTAATTTGCAAATTATAAATGTTTTATTTCCCAAATATAGGTCCAACTGAAATTGAAGTAGACTCAGGACACTCTGTGGAGTATAAGAAGAATGGTCTAGAAATCATAGCCTAGAGTCTTCTGTGATCACAGCTGGGGTCTCAGCTTTCCTAAAACTTGTGAGAAACTGAGACCCAGAGAGAGAGAACACGTAGGCTCCCCAGCGGGGTCAGAGCTGAGATGTTGTCTTAACCACATCTGGTGCTCTTTGAGTAGTAACAGCTCCATGCGAAAGCTTAAACATAAGATCAAGTCACCATCTGCTGTCCCTGTCGCTTTTCTTCATCTTAACTGTATTTATCCTTTTTGATTTCTCATCTAGATTCCGCTGCCATTTAAAAAAAAATAAATACATCAAACCAACGAACCCGGACTCTTTCAAATACTTTCATTCTGTAAGCTGCTCTCTCCAGTCGGAAGGGCCCTGTCCTAAATGGTGGATTGGCCGCTTTCTAATTGGCCTTCATTAGATTGTAGAGATAGGTCCCAGCTGTGTGACTTACTAAATATTTAGAAATTAGAGAGTCTGCAGCACTGCCGAGCTGTCTTGTTTTACGGATCAGGGGGCCTTTCACACACTTTTATTCTGTTATGGAGCTTCTTCCTCAGCAGCAAGAAGACCACCAACTGCAGCTGTGCGACCCCGCCAATGTAGCTGCTGGTGAGGGCCACGCAGAGAAGGCACCGAGGGGACCAGCTAAGGAAGCCTTCTAGTCAGTTAGTATTTCCAGGTTCATTGGGTGAGAGAGAGTGATTTGTGTATTTTTATGCAGATGTTCCAGCGCGTGTTCCAACGAGAAGTCCTTGTAGCTCTCTGTACCAAGGGCAACCTCAGGTCTGGCTCTGGCTCTGCTTCTTCCAGTGGGTTTTTGGGATGAAGTCTCTCAGTGTGAGGGAAGGACCTAGGAAATGGTTCAGTGTGATGAGCCCTGCGGTCAGCTGCGCTGTGGTTCTTTGATCGTTGGTTTTGTCATGCCTCCTGGCACGTCCAGGCTGTACCTCGTTCGTGAGTATACCAGGTACCTAATGCCATGTTGTAAGGCTTTCGCTGTTCAGCATGAGGTCATGCTATTAGTTTATAGGAAGTAACAAACAAATGACAAAGAGGACATCTAACTGGCCAATAGGCATATTAAAAGGTGCTCAATATCATTACTTATTTGGGGGATGCAAACTAAAACCTCAGTGAAATGCAACTGTACACCCATTTCTGCTAAAAATGTCTCATAATACTAAGTGACAACGAGGTCAGAGAACAAGTGGAGTTTTCACAAATTGCTGGTAGAGCATAAAATGGTCCAACTTTCCTGAAAAACTCTTTTACGCCTTTTCTTATAGATAAATACATATATTTACACTATGATCCAACAATTCAATTCCTACATTTATACCCAAGAGAATTTAGTCCATTTGTCCACCGAAATGCATACATACAAACTTTGGTAGATTCATCTATAACAGACTCAATCTGGAAATTTCCCAAATGTTCATAAAAAAAAAAAATGGAAAAATTATTTCTGACATTTTTATATAATGGAGTACTAAAAAGCAAGTCTCCTATCAGGAACCTCTTCAAAATGCTGAAGAGAAATTGTTAGTTGAAAGGCTAAGGTACAGGTGATTCCGACCATGATCTTCTCAGTCACCTGCTAAGCATCAGAGAGCTGGACAGTGAATACAGGTGACAGAAGAAGGATTGATGCCTTTGAGTTATGTTGCTTGAGAAGAGTACTGAACATCCCATGGACTGCCAAAAGAACAAAAGGTGCAGCCAGAATGCTCCTTGGAGGCAAAGATGGCGAAGCTTCACCTTTCATTCTTTGGCCATAAAGCTAGATGAGGCTATTCCTTGGCAGTGGATCTCATGCTTGGAAAGATGGAGCATCAGTGAAGAAGACGAAGACCACCCAATGAGATGAACTGATACGGTGCCTTCAGCAGTGGGCTCTAGTATATGTCAGAGATGAGGATGGTTCAAGATAGAGCAGGGTTCAGGTTGGCTGTTAATAGGGTTGCTGTGAGTTGTACTCAACTTAATGGTACCTATCAACAATAGTAAACAACTAACAAAAAGTTTACTACATCTAACAACATGTGTGAATTTCAGAACTTCATGATCAGAGAAAAGAGCCAAACCCCAAAATGCATGCTGTTCTGTTGGAAGCTCTTTACGGTGGCATAGTCCATAGCATGTCTTGCAGCTCACCAAAACGCCGTGTGTTCCTGGTGCCTCAAATCCACCAGCAGCTTGAAGGGAGATGGATGAGTACTCCCCTCCCATTAAGGTCTGCAGCCTTAGAAACCTAGTGGAGGGTTGTTACAACTTGGAACCAACTTCACAGCAGTAAGTTAAGTCTTTTTTATTAATGGGATTGAGTCAGAATGGACTCACAGCTGACCCTCCAGAGGGTTTACAATAACCCAGGAAGAGATTGCCCATCTTCCTCCTATAGTGCAGATGGTGGATTCAAACCACATGCCTTTGGGTTGGCAGCACAACCCCTTTCCCACTAGGGCACCAGAGCCCAGAGTTAAGACCAGTCCAAGGTATAGATACTAGAAGAGTGGTTACTTACTGTTTAAGAGTGGTGTCGGTTAGAGATAGACACAGCATGATAGGAATGACCTGTATCTGTATCTGGATGTCATGTATGTGGATGTATACATATGCCAAATAGTAGTTGAGCTGCCCATAAAGATTTTTAATGGTTGTAAGTTATATCCATAAAAAGCAATTGGGGTGGCGGTGGGTAGCAAACTTAAATAACCTCCCATAAACCTATGTGCATCCATTTACTTCTCCCATGAACTCGGTGTTCTAGCAGTGGGGACATGTGAAGCAAAAGAAGGAGAGGCCAAAGAGAATTTTTTAATTTTTTTAGCATTGTGATTGTTCTGAGTATCTCTCCTAGATTGGCCATGGACTGGTGCTATGATCTAGTTTAGAAAACACATTAACTCAAATTATGTAAAAAGTAACTTGGCGTTCACCATGGCCAGGCACTGTCATAGGATTCTCTTACTTCAAGGAAGCCCTGGTCTGGAGACTTCCTGTCAAATAAATGTAACTTTTTAAATGGAATCTGATAGAAGGTGTGATGCATTTTTGTCCACAGGAGTGGCTGCTAGAGAGACTGCACAAGCTCTGAAAATACTGGCCCAGGCCGCCCGGGGAGTGGCTGCCTCCACCAGTGACCCCGCCGCCGCGCACGCCATGTTGGACTCGGCTCGAGACGTGATGGAGGGCTCGGCGATGCTCATCCAGGAAGCCAAGCAGGCCCTGATCGCACCTGGAGACGCTGAGAGTCAGCAGAGGCTAGCTCAGGTGAGGTCAGCCTGCGGGAGTGTTCTTTCATTACCCTGGGAGGCCATCGCTGGGACACCTCATTTCTGGCTCTGTGCTCTGATTCAGTGAGCTTTTTTCCAGATCTTCTAGAATGTCCTAACATCGCCAGTCACGTACCAGATCCTTTTTTAAAAACCTTCCGAGTAGTCCGTGGCTCAAAGTGAGATTCATTTAACTCACAATCAACAGAGAGAATGAATGGGATATAAGAATAAATGGGATGCAGAATAAAGGGGAGAGCTTTGTTGAAATATGTCTTTGGAAGTTTACAAGCCATGCTATACCTGTTTTCTTTGGCGCCTGTGTATGCTTAACTGCATCAGTCTTCTTCACCTAAGAGGTGAGGCTGATGTCCTGTGTCCAGCTCTCCATCACTCCTTCAGCTGATTCACCAATGAATTAGTGAAACCAGTTGGCTACACATTGTCCAGGCAAAATTATAGACATGAGCCTGAGACAGAGAGGATTTCAGTTAAGGGGAATGAATGGCATACCCCTGCCTCCAGACAACCTTTCCTTTAACTTACTAAACCAGGACAAGTTTGTATTAATACCAAGGAATACAAACTTGATGCTACGTACACATCCCAAAAGGCAGCTGCACATGGGCAACTCTTGAGTTAGTTGGAAGTGCTCTGTAGGCGGGGTGAGGTGGAGAAGGACCAGAGCAGATGGTTGCTAAGCATGGGGCTAGAATATGGTGCTCTAAGAGCTCAAGACCTACTTCACCTCGGTCTCCACAGCATGGTTCTCAGGAAAGGAACTGTTTTCTCCTGAAATTAGGTATTGTTTTAGCACCAGGTCTGTCCCAGAGCCATAATTTCACCTGCCTTTGGGGCCCTGTGGGACATGTGTATCACTCTCAGACCCTCTGCCAAGACAGAATATGAGAAAGACCTAATTATGCAACACTGAATGAATATTCTTTTTAAAAAAGAAAACATTAACTAGGAAGGGAAATGTGCAAAAATGAATTAATGAAAATCCAGCTTTTCTGTAAACTTTTATTAAAATCACAATTTTTTAAAAAATCCAACACCCAAACAAAAACCACCAAGGTCATTGGCCCACCTACTGGGTCCTGATTGACTTATACAAGAGGCTTCCAGCCCACAGCTGATAGCTAAGTCCAGTAAATCCAGGCAAATAAGCTCACACACAGTTATGAACAGAAATGAAAACAACCAGTTCACACCCGACTTTCAACTAAAATAAGAGAACTTACCCTGCAAAATCCAACTGCTTCACACATAAGCCTCTGAACTAGAGACTAAATACTAATACGTGGGGCAAAGGGGAAGAGAGATCTGGGCACAGTGATTTAATGTCATAAACAACATTAGGTAGATGCTGTGGGTCATATCCTTCTCTCGTGAGATGTGAGAAGAATCCCCTTCCTGTTTCCACTCTGTGTACTGTCACTGTTCATTCCTGACAGAAGTTAAGGTGAAAGTTAAGGGGCCATTTCCTTATGGGACTTCTCTTCCTCCATGCTTCCAGGTGGCCAAAGCTGTCTCCCACTCCTTGAATAACTGCGTGAATTGCCTCCCCGGCCAGAAGGATGTGGATGTGGCCTTGAAGAGCATCGGAGAGTCTAGCAAGAAGCTGCTGGTGGACTCGGTGAGAGGTTCTGGGCTTGGCGAAGAGTCGCAGGGAGGATGGGCTGCTTTTGAGGTGTGAGTGCTGCTGCTGGCTGGCCCAGGATGTGGCTCCTAACTGAAAGTTTACCAGGAGGCCATCCGATGATGGGCCTGGAGACCTGCCTCTAAAAGGTCACACAAGATTTTAAACCTTATGGAGGAATTCCATTCTGATCCAAGAGCAGCTGGCTTATTTGTCTGTGTGCTTTTTACATTCACCTCTCCTCTGTGGGATGTCTGAGCAGGTAACCTGTCCTCATGAGTTCTGGTTTTCCTTGCCAGCTTGCCTTTCCCTTGTCAGATGTAGTATGAACTCAAACCACACTGAACCATTTAGTCTCGATAACTCAGGAGCAACCTGGGGAGTGCAGCTTCGTTTATCCCTTTGGGACAAAGGGAAAGTGCTCATGGGATGTGCTTTCTGTCCCCTGTAGCTCCCTCCAAGCACAAAGCCTTTCCAGGAGGCCCAGAGTGAGCTGAACCAGGCAGCAGCTGACCTGAACCAGTCTGCTGGGGAAGTGGTCCATGCCACCCGGGCCCAGAGTGGGGAGCTGGCAGCCGCCTCTGGAAAATTCAGTGATGACTTTGATGAATTCCTCGATGCCGGCATTGAGATGGCTGGCCAGGCTCAGGTGGGTTTAGAGTGGACCATGCTGTTCTGATGAACTATGCACCTTGGAGGCTGATTGGGCACATGAAGAAACAGGGGACCTGTTAGCAGGCCACGGCTCGCTGCATTCTTTCTCTGCCTCAGGAACCTCCATGAGCTCACAGGAATAGCATGCTCAGAGATGCTATCAACTCATGTGCAAAGTGCATCTTGGTGATGAGGGATTGCTTTTCCCACGATCTTCCAGCAGAGTCCACATGACTTAGATTACTGGGAGGCAGGGTACCAGAAAGAGGAGAATATTTAGCATTGATTAGGACAGTACTTAAAGTACAGTGTCATAGAGTGAAAACAATCATGTGTTTGAGATTCATTGGACCCATTTAAGGGACTCCAAGATTGTCTGTCAGATGATTAAAACGGACCTCTTTCTGATGCACAGATAAACCCCTTGCTTGCAACAAGGAGGCATGACCAGTCTAGTGTCAGCTTGCAGAGCTGTTTTCTGTTTCTCCTGAGCTCCCTAAAAGAGATATTCAGAGTCCTTCTTGCTATGTTATCTACAAAGCACTGTTTCTCAGATGGCAAGCCAGGTGAGAAATATGTCTGCAGCCGATTCAGGAACTGCGGGGATATAATCAACTCTGCATATCGAGACAGTGTCGGCCGTTTGTGCCAGGCTGAGATGCACAGCTCTTTGACAACTCCAGCATTGTTAGGGAAGATGCTCTCTCTCTCTCTGTGTCTCTCTCTCTCTCTCTCTCTCTCTCTCTCTCTCTCTCACACACACACACACACACACACACACACTCTCACACTCACTCTCTGTCTCCTCTCTTTATGCCTCCGCTTGTGAGAAAGCACAGTTCTTGGCTGGCCCACTTGGGAATGGATTTCTGCTCTGGTTGCATGCCTCTCGATCTGGACATCTGTTTGGGGACAGGTAGACACAGTCTGTGTCTCTGCGAGTTAGGCATCTGCAGACTAATTGGGCTTAATGTGATCTCTACAGATAACTCACTTCCACTTCGAGCCATTGCTCCTAGCTCTCACTGAATGCCTCGTAGGAGACACAGATAGCCCCTAATTACACTGGCTCCTTTTGACCTTCCAGACCAAAGAAGACCAGATCCAAGTGATAGGGAACCTCAAGAATATCTCAATGGCATCCAGCAAGCTGTTGTTAGCAGCTAAGTCTCTCTCTGTTGATCCAGGCGCCCCTAATGCGAAAAATCTCCTGGCAGCAGCAGCAAGGTAAGAGCAGGGTAAAATGTGTGGTTAACAGTGTCAGTGTCATCAGGAAGATGTGGGTGACCTAAGGCTAGTTTTGCCAAGCTTAGAATTGAAATTGACCCTTTATCATCAGAGGTGGAGTTGACAGTAATAGAAGTTCTGGCATTTTATAAATCAGGCTCATTTTTATGTGCTTCGCTACTAAAAATGTCTATTGTCTTCTCAAAGAGGCTTTTTTTCTTTAAAGACTTGCTCGGGTGTAAAGCTGCCGTTGGTGTGTAAACGCAGTGGCTTAAATGGATTTTTCTTTTAACTTTGTTTTTAATTATAGAAATATATATGTAAGCAAACGTTAGTGATTTCAACATATTTCACGTACATCATTCAAGAACATTAACTTCTATTCATGGTCTTATTCAGCCAAAACACTTAAGTTGTTTTAAAGTACTTCGATAGCTTTAAGATGATAAAAGTAGTTCATGCTCATTTGAGGGGGAAATCAGAAAATACTGAAAAATACAAAGAAAAAAAAATACTTAACTGATCTTTCAATAGACCAGTGGCGGAGTGCTTACAATGTACTTGGCATCAGTGTTAACTTATTTTTTAATTTGTTCCCTCCATCTCAAGAAGAAAGGCATTAGTTTAGGATGAGTGGGGTATCGATGACAGTAAAGTTATTTTAATTGTTTTGGAAAGTATATGAAAACATGAATCTGGTTTAGAATGACGTCACTGTACACCCTGCCTGCTGCTTCCACCCACGGAAGCGGAGTAATCCCCCACAATTTCTGCTCCGGGGCAACTGTGACAGTAGCAGAGTGAGTAGAGATCAGCTGCGGCTGTTGTGTGGAGAAACAGCAGTGGCCGATGAAGGAGCTCTTTGGTTAGCACTCCCGCATTCGTTTTTCTGAACCCATGGAGTATTTTTGATTCTGTGGTGGTGTAGGCATCCTTTCTAGCATTATTTGGTAGCACTTCCTGTGCATCATAGAAGAAATCTGACAGCAGAGAGAGATTAAATGCAATACTAAGGGAGCTTTGATGGCTTAGTGGCAAGAAGCTGTGCTGCAAATCCCAAAGGCACGCTGTTCGCGGCCACCAGCTGCTCCACAGGACAAAGATGGGCAGTCTCCTCTTGTGCAGTTAACTGCCTCTGAAAACCTGCCGCAGGGTCAGCTATGGGTCAGTTCCAACTCTACAGTACACAGTAACAACAATTAAGAGATAGAGGGCGCTCTTGTGGCCTAGTTTTAAGAAGTAGTACCACCAACCCAAAGGCAAATGGTTTGAATCCAGCATCTTCTCCGAGGGAGAAAGATGGACAACAGTCCCTTGTATTTACAGCGCGGAAAACTTGCTGGAGGGTCAGCTATGCGTCGTTTCCTACTCAATGGCACACAGCAAGCAGCATTAGGAGATATATTGTGATTGGAAATCTATTTCAAGATGTACTCATTAGTGATTTTTAAAGAACACTACTTCAGTTTGCTTTTTCTCTTTTAAAAAAAGACCCAATTTGGTTATTTATTTAGTTGCTTTTCCATGTCCTTGTTCCCTCCTGGGGTTTCAGTGGTGCTTCTAAGAAGTTTCCAGATGCAAGCAACCTGAATTCTAGTCTAAGCTTTAAGGCTTGACTGAGTGGCAGGGTAGCCATGATGATTCAAGATCGAATTCTGGCTTTCCGTGTGCGTCCTGAGACTCAGATTTGACTCGTGGCCAATTGTAGCTCATTATCAGTCATCACCTGTCGTGCTGAGCCAGGTTTCAGTGAAGCTTCTTCCAGACTAAATCCGACTAGAAAAAAAAGGTTAGATAATCTCCTGGAAATCAACTGATGAAAAGCCTGGGAATCCCAGCAGTCCGATCTACAGCCAGTCATAGCTGGACAGCTCAGGATAGCACTGGCTGGGCAGCATTGTGTTCCTTCCGTTATGTGTGAGGCTGCTTTGAGCTGGGGACTGACTCAGAGACAGCCTACAAGAAGAACTGAGTGGCGTAGGTGAGGTCATTCAGCCTTTCAGCTTTCCCATCAGCACAATAACTGTGTGTACTAGGTCATCCTTAAACTTCCTTGAATGGATAATTGGTTAAAACTTGTCTCTGGTTCTCTCTTGTCCCATATTGTTCTTTGAGAAGTTAGACATGGTCAGAAAACTTTTCCGTTTCTTCCGTTGTTCTGAAATACATTCTATATTGTTGTTATGTGCTGTCAAGTTGCCTGCAACTCACAGCTGCTCTGAGGCCTGCCCTGTCCTGAGCCAGCCTCACTGACTCCGACACATCTACCGCCAATACCCTAGTTACTGTATCAGTCCATCTCACCCGGGGTCTTCCTCTCCTCTGTTGTCCCTCCACCTTTCCGAGCGTGATGTCCTTCTCCAGTGTGCCCAAAGTATGTGCGATGGAACTTCAAAATCCTAGCCTCCAAGGAGAAACTTGGTTTCACCCTCTCCAAGACAGACTTGTTTGTTTTCTTGGCCATCTATGGTATATTTAAGACTCTCCTCCAGCACACAACTTGAAGGCATCTCCTCTTCTTCTATCCTCCTTAGTCACTATCCAACTCTCTGATGCATAGGAAGTAATTATGAAGACCATGGCCTGGATAAGGTGCACCTTAGTCTTCTAGACTGACATCATTGCTTCCCAGTATTTTGGAGAGGTCCCTGACAGCAGATTTTCTCCAATGCAATTTGTCTTTTGATTTCCTGACTGCTGGTGCCAAGAGTGTTGATTGTGGAGCGGAGCAAATTATAACTGTTTACAAGCTCAATCTCTTTTCCATCCATCATGGTGCTGCTAATTGGCCAAATGGTGACAATCTTTGTCTTCTTAATTTTGAGCTTCAATCCAAACTGAAGACTGTGGTCCTTGACCTTCTGCAGCAAGCATTTTAGATCCTCCTCAGTTTCAGCAAGCAAAGTGTTAGCATCTACATAACACAGGTTGTTGGTGAGTCTTACTCTGAATTGTGCAAAAAAAAATCTGGAGGACAATTCTCTGTCCAACTGACTGGAAGAGATCCATATTTATTCCCTTTCCCAAAAAAAAGGTGACCCAAGAGAGTGTGGAAATTATCAAACAATATCAATAACATCACACGCATCAAAATCCTGCTGAAGACTTTCCAGAAATGAGTAGAACAGTACATTGACAGAGAACTACCAGAAATACAAACCAGTTTAGAAGAGGTTGTGGCACTAGAAACATTATTGCCAATATCAGATGTATCTTGGCAGAAAACAGAGAGTACCAGAGGAATATCTATTTGTGTTTCATTGGCTATGCAAAGGCATTTGACTGTGTGGATCACAATAAATTGTGACTAACGTTGAGGAAAATGGGAATCCCAGAACACTTGATTGTGCTCATGTGAAACCTATACTTGGACCACAAAGCAGTCCTCAGAACAGAGCAGGGAAACACTGCATGGTTTAAAATCAGGAAAGGAGCACATCAGGTATGCATCCTGTCTCTATACCTTTGCAATATTCTATGTATTTGTTTCTTTTTCACAAGAAGCATGTGCCTTCTGTTTGTTTGCCAGCCTGTCTCCCTCCTCCTGGAGGCATTTTCATAATCAAAAGGGTGCCAAGTTTTTACTTGTTAATGTAAAAACAACAACAACAACAACAAAACACACAGAGGGGTGGTGAGTATTGGGGGAAAAAATTTAAAAAGGTTAGAAAATTTTTAATTCATTGCTGTTGACTCAAAATTGACTCATATTCGACCCTGCAGTGGGGTTTTCAGAGACATGGGAGAGGATTGCCCATCCTTCCTCCAAGGAGACGCCAGTGGGTTTGAACCACCAGAGAGGTGGTTAGAACCACTCCCTACATACTAAGCTTTCACAGCTCTTATTTTCTGAAACTTTTTTTTTATTTAAAACTGTATTTTAGCTCCACGTAATAGTGAGAATCACTAAGGAATTAGAAAAATACATCTTTACATCTCCCCAAGAAGCAAAACCAAGCCTGTTGCAGTCAAGTTGATTCTGACTCACGTTTACCATATAGAACAGGACGGAACTGCCTAACAGGGTTTTCAAAGCTGTAAATCTTCACTGAAGCCCACTGCCACATCTTTATCCCTCGGAATTTCTGGTGGGTTTGAACCACTAACTTTTCAGTTAGCAGCCAGGTGCTCTGAATGCTGTGCTACCAGGACTCCTTTACACATCTCGATACCTCCCTCTTTTGCTTTTTTGGTTTTCAGTCCTGTAAACGATACCTTCCCCTGGTAGTGATGTTGCAGGTGGGGGTGGTGATCGAGGAGGAGGGGTAGAGAGTAGGGGAGATGCCTGTTCCATGGAGCAGCTGTTTTTCATATAAAACCTTCCCTTGATCACCTTTTCCCCCTACAAATACCCTCTGGGTAAGGCAACTGCCGTTTCCAGGTATCTGAACTCAGATGGTATTCATTATCTCAATTTTTTGCATCATTTCAAAATTACAGTTTCCGACTTGGAACATGTTGCTCTTGAATTGGGGGGAGGAGGAGAGGAGTGTAAGCTGGCCTTGAGAAAGCAGGTATGAAGGAAACCCAGGTTCCCTCCCCAGCAGGGTGGCTGCTATCAGCCACTGTGGGTGCCTGAAGGCCCCCTGGTGGTGACACAAGGAAGGGAGCTAAAGGTTTAAAAGCAAAAACCTCTCAGTTCTCACTTTCAGCATTTTGACAGAGTTCCAAGCCTGATGTTTTATAGATAAGTAAACATTTAAAAATCATCATGTGGAAGCGACTGCCTTAGGCTGGAGCTGTTGCAAGAAGATGCTGGCACAGTCAGTGTGGCTCCCGGGGCATGTTGGCGAGCTTCCTGCTTCCCAGGATGGCTTCCCAGCCAAAGCTGCAGCCTGGTCAAGAGAGTCAGGCAAGCACCTCTAGGCAGCAAAAGCCTCACCAGGCTGAGGGGCTTTCATTCATATATAACAAAAAATGTTCCCTTTTAACCATTTTTTAACCTTGTACAACTCAGTGACGTTAATTACCTCCATAGTGTTGTGTGACCATCACTGTTA